GTGCCTCAAATCTGTCCTTTAGATGGTCTCTAAATTCAGGAGGGATATAATCAAGGTCATATTTTGGTTTTCCTGGACTTGTTCTAATTGTCTTCAACTTGTACGTGCATATGAGCAGTTGATGGTCTTTTCCACAATCAGCTCCTGGTCTTGTTTTGGCTGAAGATACTGATCTTCTCCATGGCCTCTGGCCACAGATGTAGTCAGTCTGATTCCTGTGTATTCCCTCTGGTGAAATCCCTGTGTATAGTTGTTGCTTATGTTGTGGAAAAAGGTATTTGCAATGGATAAGTGGTTGGTGGTGCAAAATTCTATCACAGAATCTCCAGCACCATTTCTATCACCAACGCCGTATTTCCCAACTACCAGTAATACTTCTTTGTTTCCAACTGTTGTACTCCAGTCACCAGTGATAATCAACACATCTTGATTGAATGTTTGGTCAATTTCAGACTGCAGAAGTTGGGAGAAATCTTAAATTTTCTCATCTTTGGCTTTGGTGGTTGGTGCATAGATTTGAATAATAGTCGTATTAACTGGTCTTCCTTGTAGGCATATGGATATTAGCCTATCACTGATAGCACTGTACTTCAGGACAGATCTTGAGACAGCCATTGTGACAATGAATGACGTACCATGCCTCTTCAATTTGTCATTCCTGACATAGTAGCTCATATGGTTGTCTGATTCAAAATGGCCCAAACCAGTCCATTTCAGCTCACTAGTGCCTAGGATATAGATCTTCGTACGTTCCACTTCATTTTTGACAACTTCCTAGTGTCCTAGATTCATACTTTGTACAGGCCATGTTCCAATTATTAATGGATGTTTGCATCTGTTTCTGCGCATTGTGAGTCTTGTCACATCAGATTCCGAAAGCTTTACTTTATCCGTATCATTAAGGTCATCTGTACCCTGAGGAGTCAGCTCTTCCCCGGTCAAATTTTGAGTGCCTTCTGGTCTGACGGGCTCATCTTCTGGTACTACATTGGACAATGTCTCAGGGCTATTTATTAAGTTTTCCAGTAATATATCAGACAGTGTTTCCCTGCTATTTATGTCTT